ATCAAATCCAGAATTTGGCAAGCTTGTCGTTTTCCCTCACCACCCCAGATGTCAACTTTCCTAACACTCAAAACGCCACACCTCCACAAAACATCCCGAAACCACAAAACTATTCCGTTCCCCTCCACCACTGCAACACTTGCCACACTTCCAACAACACCCCACTGCTCATCCCTGAACCGCTGAACTCCACAAATGATCATCTCCACACTCACCACAACACCCCCATCTATGTGGAAACTATGCCGCACCCTACTCAACCCATCTCAAGCATACCCGAGTCCAATGATAAAGACTCGATCATCAGAAATTTGGCTGAAGAACTTAAGAAGCTGACCACCAGGATCCAAGGCATTGAAAGTAGTAAAGGAATTTAGGGGCTAAACTACGAAGATTTATGCATACAGCCCGATGTCAAACTGTCCGATGGGTACAAACCCCTCAAGTTCGAGATGTTTGATGGTACAGGGGATCCCAGGGTTCACTTGAGGACATACTGCGACAAGTTGGTCGGAGTAGGAAAATATGAGAGGATCCGCATGGAGCTTTTCATGAGGAGACTAAAAGGAGATGCTCTGTCTTGGTACATTAGCCAAGACCCAAAGAAGTGGTCAAACTGGGTTAGTATGGCGTCCGACTTCATGGATAGATTCAGGTTCAATACGGAGAATGCACCAGATGTGTTTTACATTCAAAATTTGAGAAGAAACCCACAGAAACTTTCCGCGAGTATGCCACTCGTTGGAGATCAGAGGCTGCCAAGGTTCAACCTGCTTTAGGGGAAGAACAGATGAACAAGTTTTTCGTCCGGGCTCAGGATCCGTAATACTATGAAAGACTGATGCTGATCGAGAACCATAAATTTTCTGACATCATCAGGCTGGGAGAAAGGATTGAAGAAGGCTTCAAAAGTGGTATGGTCACTAACTTTGAAGCTTTGCAAGCCACCAACAAGGCTCTGCAGTCCGGTGGTACATCCAAGAAGAGGGACGTAAGCGCCGTAATGGTTGCACAGAGAACCAAATCACCAGTCAAATACCAAACCTACCCAATATCTCCACTTACATATCAACCTACTCCAAATTTCCAGACACCCGCACCTTCCTACCAAGATCCACCACCTACCTATCAATCACCTCCACCTCCCACATACCAACCTACTTCACCCAGATATTCCCAACCCGCACAAGTCTACCAAACTTACAACACTCACTACTAGAAAATGGGCCTACGGCTACGGATTTTTTGGCAACGGTTAGATCGGATATAGTAACGGTTTAACCGTTACAATAGCATTTGGGGAGGTATCAGTACACTTTAACTATCAAACCGTTGCAATTGTAACAGAACCGTTGCCATAGAATATTTTTCCGCAACGGATCTATAAACCTTTCCACTATATACATTTATGGGAACGGTTCAGGAGAAATATTTTTTATTGGATCGATTTTCATTCCCTCCTCATTTTACCGCCTGAAATTTCCTAAACCCGCCAAATCAACCCTTATTTTTAATTAATTTTAATAATGTAAATATGAATTAATGTTAAAATACTTTTTCCCCTTTTTCCTAGTAATTAAACCCGCCCACCTTCAGTATCTCTTCGATACATCCAAAGTCCAAAGAATTAAACCTTCAGTATCTCTTCGATTCATTCCTCCAAAGACCAAAGTCTTGATTCAACTCCAAAATCAATCCTTATAGCCGATTCATTTCAAGGCTGTTGCTGACCTTCCCCAAATTCCAAAATCAATTTTATGCTCGAATCGGAGAAGGCGTCTAAACGAATTGGAGATTAAGCTCTTTCTAGATTCATCCAGTAAGTATTGTTATCTAATTTGGGTTTTTTCCTTTAATCATTCATTTTTATTCAATTTTACATCTTCTTATAACCAACGGTAAATTCTTCAATTTTAGGTTTAATGTGTCGTCTTCTGCTGTGTTTTAAGTGATATTGGTATTGTTGATAATCCTTCGTCTTTGAATTGGAGAAAGAAAAGAGTTGTTACTACAGTATATTAGGAATGATTATATTGTTTGTTCCTTTCTTTAAATTTTTCGTCTCTATGTATGTGAAAACCATTCCCCCACAGTAATAGGACATATTACTGTTATCAATTATTTATAAGTTTGATTTCCTCTTTATTCAACATAAAAAAAAGGCTTAGTTTATTCTCAGTTTCCAAAGGTAAAACACACAATTCCTATAGCAGTGTGTAAGAAAATCTAATAGAGGAGATTCAAGAAGCTTTTGCACATTTTAATGTATCTTACCCCCCGCCATCTCGACTTATTAGGAACTGTATGGACCCATCACCAAAGAATAAGCACGGCATGGGAACTAGAACATACATAAGAGTTGTCAAAACCAAGTAAACTTCTTAGTTAGCAACAATTAGAGCTAACTCTGCTTACAAAAAGCAGAAATAAGACCACTTTATGTAGCTCATACTGAAACTTCACCTCAGTTGTGGTAATTTTGAAGAAGTTACAAAGCTGCATTTTTCAGTAGTTCATCTATGAGTTCGCCAAGGGACAAATAAGACGATCCGCCTTCGATTACGCTAGCTCTGCTCTTCTCCTTCATTTCCTTTGCCTTTTCTCTTACTACTGTATTAATTTCCATCAATTCTGTAATCTCTTTTTCTATGGCGTCTGCAGTTACCATTGGCTGATCTTTAGTCCTTTCGCAGTAATCCAAACTGATTGCCACTGCAACTCCTACTTCTTTAACTAACTGAAATGCATTCATTTGTTGCTCAGAATGCAATGTCCATGTTCCTATAGGCACCACACACCATATACTTTCGAGTATCGAATTCCAACAACAATGTGACACGAATCCCCCGATTGCCTCGTGGGATAAAACCTTCAGTTGCGGGACCCATCCTACAACTTTCCCTTTCTTCTCTGTCCGATCAAGAAATCCTTCTGGCAACATTTCAGAATAGCACGTGTATTCACCATGGAATTGCGCGTTATTGCTTTGTGGGGGTCGACGTAAAGACCACAAAAACCTATAGCCACAGTTGTCCAAAGCTAAAGCGATCTGTTTCACTTGGTCCAATGGTAAACTCCCTTGGCTCCCAAAACAGATTAGCACAACTGATGTAACCACCTTTAAATCTCATTTTGAATATTATTCTGCTGATCATAGTTTTGTGGTTCTTCAAAGGACCATTCAGTACTCATGTTTGGAAATACAGAAGAGGAAAAAGCTAGCATTTTGTAGAAGGTTTCTTATGGAGAAGTAATATTACTTTGCTAAGAAATTGGGGAGTGACTATCTTCCGTATTTATACAAACTGTTGTAACCGTTCTTGTTGATTTCAATATCTTGGTTCTGTTGTAAATTAAAAATTATAGTTTGACATTGATTAGATAAAAAAAAATAACGTACTTAATATTAGTTTAATCAGGGCTGAAAAAATTCAGTGAAGTTATGCACTATGCTTGGTGCAGTTTAATTTGGTGCATTTGGTGTAAAAAACTTATGTATTCAACAACAAAAAAACTAAAGGAATACTTTAACTTTAACTAACACTTTTGTGCTAGATCAATAATTATAGCTTGTTAAATCTGATTAAGCACAAGGAGCTTGATTGTAATGTTTCCTAGGTCTATTTTCAGGTTTCTTCAGTAAAGATTCTGTTTTACACCTATCTAGTTACTAATTTCAAGTACACACCTTTTCAGAAGAAAGAAGAAGCAAGATATTTGGTGAGGTAAACCTTCTGCTTTCACTCAGTTTGTCTTCTTTCTGGTGTGCAACTGACTGTGTATGTTTGTGCTTTTGAAACTGAAAATGGGTGTAGTTTAGCCTTTTGAAACTTATTGTCTAGGTCTTTCTGGTGTGACATTGCTTCTGAAACTGAAGGTGGTTGTAGTTAATTTTCTGAAATTTATTTGGATGAGGGTTTATATAGCCTACCCCAACTAGCTTAGGATTGAGGTGAAGTTTTTGTAGTTGCCCGGTTGATTTATTAATTGAGTAAAGATTCTGTTTTTCTGAGTTTTCACTATTTAATTCTTTTGTCTAAGTATAAGTGTTGTTTTCTCAATGGTCGTTCTGGAGTGCCACTGCCTGTATATGTGATGCTTCTGAAATTGAAGATGATTGTAATATTTTTTTTTTGTAAAGGTTTGAATTTTTTTAACTATTCCTATTATAAGAGATAATTTTTAAGAAGTTAACTTTTAAAGGCCTTAAATTGCTTTACTGTTTGTGACTTTCTTTGTGACTTTCTGAGTTCCACCCTTAAAAGCAGTGGTTAATGTCAAATTAATATGATTTTGGTTTATTTGGTTAGTTTTGTTGATTTACTTTTATCGTATAGGATATCTATGGATAATGGTGATAAAAGTTGGATGAATCTCCTGAGATGGACGGATGAGTATATCCGTGGAGTGAATGATTTTCTTGATAAGGCATTTGAACGAGCCGCCCAAGGAAATGAAATATTATGCCCTTGCAAAAAGTGCATGAATCGCTATTGGTATTATAAAAATGTGGTGGAGGATCATTTGGTTGTTCATGGATTTGTTGATGGTTATACCAAATGGGTTTTCACGGGGAAGGATTTTCCTCGAGAAATACACCTCATCCAAGCAATGGTGATGAAAGTTCTACCATGCGTGACGATATTGATGGACTACTTCATGATACATTTAGAAATATAGAGGGTCAGGCAGGGGATGAAGAAGGAGTTGGGGAACGACTATCTGAAGATGCAAAGAAGTTTTTCAAATAGCTGGAGGAAGGAAAACAAGAGTTATATCCAGGGTGTGAAAATTTCAGTAAACTGAGTTTCACTATTCGATTGTACTTACTTAAATCCTTGCATGGGTTAAGCAATGTAGCGTTCTCTGATTTGTTAGAGTTGATAAAAGAGGCATTTCCCTTTGCTCAGGTACCTGAATCTTTCAACAAGGCTAGAAACATGATAACATATTTGGGTCTTCATTATGAAAAAATACATGCATGTCGTAATGATTGCATGTTATTTTGGAAAGAAAATGCGAATGCCGATAATTGCTCTATCCTTTGACTAAAGCAAGATCTAAAATCCCTGTAAAGGTTTTAAGGTACTTTCCTTTAAAGCCTAGGCTTCAGAGGATATTCATGTGTCCTGAAACGGCTGCTGCAATGAGATGGCATGCTAATGAACGACCCAATGATGGGAATATAAGACATCCTGCTAATGGGGAAGCTTGGAAGGCTTTTGATTCTTTGCACCCAGACTTCTCTAGAGATGCTCGAAATGTTAGATTGGGTCTTTCAAGTGGTGGTTTCAGCCCGTTTCAGACCATGAGCATTTCTCATAGCACGTGGCCTGTTATGTTAATGAACTATAATTTATCACCGTGGATTTGCATGAAGCCAGAGTATATAATGTTGTCTATGATCATTCCAGGTACATCATCTCCAGGAAATGATATAGATGTGTACCTACGACCATTAATTGAAGAATTGAAGGAACTATGGGAAACTGGGATAGACACATTTGATGCTGAAACCAACCAAACTTTCCGAATGCGTGCTGCCTTAATATGGACAGTTAATGATTTTCCAGCATTAGCAATGCTTTCAGGATGGAGCACTAAGGGGAGATTGGCATGCCCCACTTGCAATTATGACACATGTTCTCAATATCTCAAACATAGTCATAAGATGTGTTACTTGGGCCATCGAAGATTTTTGCCTCGTGATCATCCATTCCGACGAGATAAGAAGTCTTTTGATGGTAAGAAGGAGCATAGACCTGCACCTGCTCCATTTTCGGGTGAAGAAGTGTTTGAAGAGTTGCTTGAATTCAACAATATCTTTGGAAAAAGCGCTAAAAAAGGCCTCAGAGTGATAAGGGTCCGTGGAAAAAGAGATCCATTTTTTTCGAATTGCCATATTGGGTGAATAACAAATTGGGGCACAATCTTGATGTGATGCACATCGAAAAAAACATATGTGATAGTTTGCTTGGGACTTTATTAGAAATAGATGGAAAATCAAAGGATCATGAAAAATCTCGCTATGACTTACAAGAAATGGGGATACGAAAGGAGCTGCAACCAAGAATAAATAATGATGGAACTATAAGTTTGGCTAAATCTTGTTTCTACATGGAATCAAAACAGAAAAGTTTGTTTTGTACTGTCATAAAAAATGCTAAATTACAAAAAGGGTGTGCTTCGAATATTTCAAAACGCGTGCAAGTGAAGGAGATGAAAATATCAGGGTACAAGAGTCATGACGCCCATTTTATAATGCATTACTTGCTCCAAGTTGCTTAGAAAAGTGTTGCCCAAGAATGTTTCATTGGCCTTCATTAGGTTGGGAAATTTCTTTAGAGCTATATGTAGTAAGGTCATAAGGCGAAGAGATCTTGAAATAATGCAGTCTGAAATTGTTGAAATAACATGTGAGCTTGAAAAGATTTTCCATCCAATATTTTTGACATAATGCCACATTTGCCTATTCATTTGGTGGATGAAATTAAGCTTGGGGGTCCGGCTCATCTTCATTGGATGTATCCCATTGAGAGGAACCTATGTAAGTAAAAGGCCTTTGTAAGTAATCGATCTAGTCCAGAAGCGTCAATAGCAGAGGGGTTTTTGGCCGATGAGTGCTTGACTTTTTGTTCGAGATATCTACATGATGGCGTGAAGACAAAACTTAGTAGGTACCAAACTGTGGATGATGAGTGCTCTCAAAATTTGTCACCTATATTCCCTAATATAGGCCATCCAATTGGAAGTAAGAAAAAAAATACTTTTCTCATGGATTCGCAGTTATGCTTTGAAGCACATCGATATGCTCTGTTCAATACTGGAGATGGACAAATGGAAAAGTTTATCGAGTAAGATAAATTATATTAATATTTATTTATTTTTTATATAATTTTTTCTTTATTATATGATTAAACTGGAAATGTTCTTGATTGCAGGGAACATAAGAATTTAATTGTTAATCATAGTAGATCAAAATGCATGGGTAAGAGCGAGGGATCATAGTCGGGAATTCAGCAATTGGTTTGAAGAAAAAGTTAAAAATATTGTATTGCCAGATTATTTAAGATGGCTAGCCAAAGGACCTAATATGGTAGCCAAAAGATACCCGGGATATTTTATTAATGGATACCGATTTCATACTAAGGAACGGGATTCCCAAGGCAAGACTCAAAATAGTGGAGTGACTTTATCGGCAACAAC